TTCAATTTAAACATATGTATGTTTTCCAAACCGAACGATATAACAATATGACGGGCTTTTATGATGAATCTTTTTGGTTTTTTAATAGCATATCGAATAGATTAAAAAATAAAGTTTTGTATTAATAAAGCATTTCTAAACACTACGCCTTGGACGATCATTTGGGGCTATACAATTTGTTTTTCTTTTCTTTTATAAATCCGTAAAGTTTAGAAAGTAACGTTTTTCTTAAGAAAGGTGTCAGTAATAATCTGTATAGGTTCAGAATAATATTTTCTGATTTGTGATTTTTAACAATTTTTATATATATATATATATATAAATAGTGGTCGTTCACTAAATACATGCATAAAATAGTGAATCTATGTGTATCAGTTTATGTCATTAGTGGATAAAAGAAGAAGAGGTCCTTCTGGCTCTTCTTCTTCAATGTGTCGCATTTGGGCTGATTTTCAATAGAGTGCATTTTTTCATTTGGAAATACTTTCATTCAGATAATTCATACGTCTTAATAAATCAATTCACTTTAAATCTAATGCAAATTCTTAACCTAGCCTTTAGAATAGCACTTCTCAGTACTTTTACCTTTCAGAACCGTTGAAGTAATATTCATGTTTGAGAGATTATCTGCTTAAACATTTACAGAGTTTCGGATTATTTAGTTTTTAGCTTAGTGTGCAGAAAGAAGGTGAAGAAATAAAAAAACAAAAAACTAGAGACTGTGCCGAGCTTCACCGAGACTTCAGATTTACTCGTACATTGAATTTATTAGATTAAGTGAAACTACACTAAGGATATCTATCTAAGAGGAGGGATGCCTTCGCACAGGACTTTACCTCCACAAAGGGCTGTCATCTGTTTACATTACACATAGGAAAAACGCGAAAACTTTGCGTTTTCATGGTTTTTCCCATGTGAAGAGTGAAAACGAGCCAGTTCCCGTTAGAATGTCTTCCACGAAATCACCCTTACTCTTAAACAGATAGACCGCTTGTGCTCTGTCATAATCAAATAAGTCAAACCAAACCGTTCATCTGGATTTGAGTCAGATCGAACTATATAGTGCTGTAACCGCTCGACCGGTGGTACCCACGTATCTTACGAAGCTTTACGACAAGTTAAGGCGTTTTCGAATGGGCTAAGTTGCAGCGACGCGCACCGTAAAAGTAGTCTAAAGTAGGGAAAAGTCGTACTTTCAGCTAAAACTAAATACAGCCAAGAACCAAAGGACAGTATTTTTATGTACAAAATGTAACATCTTCTCGATTTAATTATTTTCCCGAATTATTGCCACCCTCCCGTTCATTCCTGATTAAAAACCTCCACTGTATCTGAAATACCTTAAAAAGTGCAGAGGCGGCTTATACACGAGGCCATCTTCTATTCGGGCCAGTTTCGTTACAGTTTTTATTACTGGTAAGTAATGATATTAGCTTTGAAATTTCCCGATGAACTTTGTGATCTTTGTCACGATTGTATCATCACATTTAATGTGTCAACAGAGTGTATGAACGCAACTATTCTTGTTCGCATGAGCAGATACAATGTTTATTCGAGCATTAAAACTAGCTCTGTAGTATATTTATCACGACTAAAATTATCATTCTAGCTGCATTTCGAATACACGGGTTTCCGAAAGCGTCCTCTGGGTACAGTTTGAGGTCAGCTGCTCGCATTTTAATGAAGGTCTGATCAGATGAATATTCTTTCATCTATAGCCCACGCAAGCATCTGACCGACCAGATGCCTGTTCAAGGTGCAGAACCTTTCCTTTACCTTTGTATCGAAGATCCCTGGGCGACAGATGCCGAGACGACCCGTTTGGTGATGTCGGGGAAAGGAAGAGCTGTCGTGTTTACTCACCGAGACGGGATCGTCATCATATTCCTGTTGATCAAAATTGCTTTCGACTTACTTCCTGGTAGCCTTGGAGCTTAATTTTTCGTGAATTCGGAGAACGGACACGCATTGAATCGGACAGTTAGCTTTTCTGATGTTGCGGTAGCATGTGAACGATGTCACGCAAGCAGAACCTGTCAAGAATGGAAAATAATGGTTAAAATATTTTTCATTGGCTGTTTCTTTCTATTGTACAGCTCGAAGCGAAAAGTGAAACTTGGAAAGATATATCTTAAGATAGAGGTATTTTCATATATTTTTTAAATGTGTGGCTGTAATTTTTTTTAAAGCGGCATAAAGAAAGTATAGTACAGTTGTACCTCGGTATACGTTATTAATCTCTTCCAGACCCTTGGACGCATACCAGACTGAACGTATACTTGAACAAACTTTTCCAATAAGAAATAAAGTAAAAATAATTAATTAATCCGTTCTTATAAAAAAAACTTTTGTTATTATTATAACACTGTTTAATACCAAAATACAAATTCAGTAGATGAAATATAAGATATTGTACATAAAGGAAACACTGACATGTACTGTAGCTAGATGCTTTTCTGTTATCCGGATCAAAAACAATTTTTTATCATGCTGTAACAGCTCTGATTTTTGTTTGGTAATCGATCAATCTTATTCTTGCATTCCTTTGCCACGATGAATTCCGTGGGCTTTACTGTCAGTCAAATGAGATAACTTTAACAGATTTTACTTGAATGTATTTATCCGCTTAGAGTATTTCGTCAAGAATTTCTCATGGAGTAAATTCTCCACACAATTCAGCAACATTAGGATTCGTGATTATTATACATTTCAAAATTTCGTGATTAGCTCTTTTCTGCACGCCTTTGTGGTGTAACGGTAGCACACTCGGTGCATATTCGAGAGGTTTAGGTTCGAGTCCCGGCGAGGGCATTGCTCATTTTTATTCCTTCTTCCAAAAAAAAAAAAAAAAATCCTAATGTCTCTACAAGCTCAGTTTCTTGCGCTATTACTCAAAACACTCTTTGTTGCTGCGTTTGTCCCCAGTAAGCATAAATCAAATTACTTGTAGAGACACTAAACATTTTTTGGAAGCGGGTAAGATTAAAAATGAGTAAACACCTTCGCCGGGAATCGAACCACGGACCTCTGGAATACCGACCCACCGTGCAGAACCATTGCACCACAAAGGCACACTAGGAAGGTGGGAGAAATACCTTATATACTCTCCCTTAAAGAGCGACTGGGGTTTTTAGGGGACCCTGTCGCCAAATCCTTGGTGAAGAGAATCATCATCCAACACCTTTCAGTTCGGGCGCCACTGTAGAGACATTAGATAGTCTTGGAAGTAGGCAAGATGAAAAATGAGCAATCGCCTTCGCCGGAAATCGAACCACGGACCTCTGGAATACCGGCACAGCGTGCAGAACCACTACACCACGAAGGCACGCTAGGAGGGCGGGAGAAATATCTTATTATATAAGTTATCAGATTTGAAGGAAACTCATAATTATTCTCGAAATAAGAAAAATGGTTTCTCGTTTCTCCTGAATTTTAGTTTTATAATATTTATTATTATCATTGTTTTAATGTTTCTGCTATTATACATATTTGTAAGTATGTCACCGGAGAAGTTGTTATCACATAACACTTTTTCATCAAAATATTTAATTTTACAGCTTTTTTTTTTCTCATTTTAAGATCTTCCCTACATTATTTTTCAAGGTGCTTCGTTTAAAATTTTGTACATAATTCAATAACACTGTCAGTATTTTTAAGAACGAAATATAATAATTTGTAAGACTTTTCTTTCTCTTTTCTCGTGCCTTCCTGCTGTACTTGGAAAGTATTTCGGGCTTTCATCGAAAGGTCCAGAGTTCTATTCCGAGCAAGGGTTAGCATATTTTTCACATTTCCGGCTTAAACGAGCCTAATAACTCTGCGAATTCCAAGTAGTAGAGTTTTCGGAGTAGAAATCCAAAAATTCTCTCATAATCCATTTTTTGTATTGCCCGTGTGATTTCTTTACAATGTATGTCTACAACGTTCAACTGCTAATTACCGAACTTATTTAAAAAAAAAAGATCGATTATTAACGAAATTTGAGAATATTTAAAGAATCCGAACAGTTTTCGCTTGACATTCTGTAGCGAACTATCTCGCACGTTCCGGAACGTCTGCTTTCTGGTCACACAGGAATTCTTTACACTGCAGAGAAGTCAGGCAGTGGTGTCTGTACTTTTTTAACTGGAAAAGACTTTTAGGAGGCATGTTAAGTGGATGTATCACAGAAGATTGATTTATCTAAAGTGACAATTAGTAAGATAAACAGTTAAACGTAACAGGTGACAAATAATAACTTCAATTATTTAGAGACTGAATGTCTTCATTTGTTAGAAAATACATATATCAATCGTTAACAGACTGTTAAAATTTGAATGCCTATCCGCTTAGGCTGTTATCTATAATTTAATCGCGGAGCAGCACTAAATTTTGACGATCCGCGAAAATGATTTGCAAATCCGCCACCTCCTGCTTTTGCTCTTTCCGGTGCTCACCCTTCATCTCTTGGCTCGAACTCCGGTGTGAGGGGTGAACGAGTGGGAAAACCTGTTGCCGCTTTTAGCATCACTCCCCCTTTTCCGTCTGCTGCTGAAGGCCCATATTGACTTTCCACTTCATTCGCAGCGGCTTCCGAGTTCGCGGCTGTCTGGTGCTGTGTTGTGGAGGCTGCAACCCGATAAGGATACGTATTAAGGAGCCTTTTTTTTCGCTCGGGGTGAGTCCTTTTGAATTAATAATTTCCTGCCTCCTCAGAATGACGATGCCTTCTTTTTTCTCTTCGCTTTGTTCCACTTTCAGTTGCGAAACTTCTGCAAAAGTGGAGTTTTATGCTTTCATTGAGATGAAAGTAGAGAAAAGTAGCATGCATGAATGTGTTTAGCATTTGAAATGAAAAAAAATATGTTAGATTTCTCACTATTTTTTTTAAGTGTGCGTGAGAGAGAGATTAGAAACATTTTTAGCTAAGCCTTTCCAAAATTTCAGGGCTTTTACGCTGGTTATATTGTGATAATTTATCATCATTTCACAAAGCGAAATATATTTCTTTGGTTCATCTTTATTAACGGCTTCGCGCATGAGCAGTTCTCAGAATTACATTTGCAAAACATAAGATCTTTAAAATGAATTTGCAATTATTTTATAATCTGTGGATTTAAAAGTGATAAACAAATTTCTTAATAAAGAAATCTTTATTTTATTTCCTGATGTATATCTAATTGATATAAATTTTAACTATATTTAATTTATAATATTTATCTGATAATTCTACACTGTTTTCGTTATAATTAATTAAAATATAATTTTAACGCCGTGCTACGTAACGTGTAATTCACAACCCCCCCCCCCCCATTTGTGTTTGAATTTCTCCAAATATTTTCGGATTAGAAAACAATCCTCCCTGCCCCGTCGGAAGAGGAAGGCGCCGTTCTGGAACTAACTTATTTACTATACATCCTCCTTATTACTCATCTTATTTTGACATTCACTGAAATCCACTGAAATCCACCTGAAATGTTATTTTGAAGTTTGTTCAAAAATACATCCTAAGAAAAAAAATTATGACATCGGGCTTGGAAACGCTTTAAATAAGAATTCTAAACTAATTTTTCAAATAAAAGTGTAAGAAATTCTGAAGTAAACAGTAATTAATATTTCTGTGAAACGCCAATTAATTCTAACCTCATTTACTGTTTGTTTGAATTATAAAATCTTGAAATTCAAGTTAAGAAATTATCCAGTTTAAATTTAAAAAATAGCGATTAGAAAGTATCATTTGAATTTTCAAGATTTGAATGATTGCCCTCTGCTTATTTTATCTGTCAGTGCCTCAGATAGCTACCTTTTCTATTTTAAAACGTCTATTTTGTTTCCTAATGCGTTGGGGGAGGGGAACTTCTTAGATTCTGGGTATAAATCTGAGTATATATTATTTGATACATTAAGTTATTTTCCATTTGTTGTGCAAGGAATAATAATTCAATTAAAGAAATATCAGCGGTTTTTACCCCTTCTATTTTTGTTTGAGGCGTTTTCTTCGCATGGAAAATCAAAAATTTTGAAATCATTGACTCTACAAGATGAATACCGAAACTGTGACTTTCGTGTTGTTTTCGTGTTATGTTGTTTTCGGTTGTGCTTTGATGGATTCTTTATAATATATTTTCTTTTCATTGTGTGGCTGATTCCTAATCTTCTTTCATTATATAATTCCTTACTAATGGATGCTGATGTAAGTAGTATGCATGTGAACATTTAAATAAATACGTGCAGTTTATAAAGCTGTTATATTAACTATATGCGCGCATTTCAGAGAGCATAGTTGCATTTTAAGAGGTAATTATTCATCCTTTATAATTAAAGAACTTTTTCTATAATTAGAACAGTTTTAAATGAAATTAATTGCAAAAAATCACGTATGAAATATTATACACAATACGGATATTTTTTGAAAACCATCATTTTAAATGTATAATTATTGTTAAGCTAATTTTAAAATCGTCAAAGTATTAAATAACGCTCTTCTCAATTAAAAAAAAAAACATTTTAAAGCTGAACATTAGCTAACGTGTATCTATAGTTTAAGTGTAATTTTTACATTATAATGAACCCTTTCGCGACGACCACTTACTTAAAACGACCATTTCGGAAAGGAAGTAATATTTCTGGGAACATCAAAGAATATCATTGTTAAACGTCCCCTCCGTATGACGACCATCTTTACAGAAGACCGCAATCATCTTGAACCATCGTGATTGTCACAAAGAAGATTCGTGTAATAGGTTATATAAGGTATTTCTCCCCCCCTTCTTAGCATGCGTTCGTGGTGTAGTGGACAGCGCACTCGGCGCGTATTCGAGAGGTCCGTGGTTCGAGAGCAATGCTCATTTCTCATGTCTCCTGCTTCGAAATAACCTAATGTCTCTACAGTTATTCGTCTAATTCATTTTTTGCAAAATTGAGGCTAATTTTGCGAAATTCTTAACTAACTAGGCGAAGGATCGTTTTGCAGAAGGGACTTGCTTTTACAAAAATTTTATTTTTATTTTTTGAATCTCTAATGTTTTAATTTTTTTATTAAATTATTATTTTTAAAATTTTCTATTAAAAAATTTAATTTATTTTTTATATCCTATGTTTGAAGATGATTTGAATGAATTTTAGCAAGAAAACGATCTGGACATTTCTTTCGCATATTAAGCACTTATTTCTGGAATGTGCAAATTAAATATTTTGAAGTTAAGCAAAACAAAAAGATGTATTCTGCTTGCTTAATCTGGTAAAATTATTCAGGTTAATTCCGTATTGTAGTATTGAAAGAGTGTAAACTCGAGTAAAAATATTATATAGGTTTCTGTAAAGCTGCAGCTAACTTTAGATTTACACCAGGCGTATGATCTTGAAGGACAGTATTCTACGCCAGCGTAAACTGAAACGATTTCATAATGTAAATGTTAGTGAGAAGTTATTGACTGGCATGAGTTCCACGAGCATGGTAAACTTCACAGCATATTTAAATAGCTCTGGTGGCCATATTTCACAACATATTTAAATAGCTACAAATATAACGAAGGAGTTTACAAGTTTATTTATTTTCAATATACTACATTTGTAAATACTTTATGTGCCATTATTTATTTCATATACTGAAATCAGATTCTATTTTGATCTGTTTCATTATTAAACTAAAAATGGCCACGAAAGGAGCCTCAAAAATAAGACTTTATCAATCTTAAATCCAGCCTTGAATGCATTTCATCGAAATACGGTAAACGATTATTCGGAAAATTTGCGCTAATTATAGTCGGTTCTTCCTTTTCCCCATTAAACTGTTGAGACTACACGTGAGTGAGTGCACAGTGAATAAAGTGTTCTGTATTTACTTTACGAGGTTTGTGATCTTAAATGCTCTGAAACTGTTTTTAGCACACAGTTAAAAAGTGTGCATGTGTTATTTTGTTTTTTGTAAAATATTAAATTAATTTTTGGTATAGGTGTGCTTTATAGCTGATCACAGTGGAACTGAGACGCATTTCTCCAGCATTTTCTGTAAATTTCGAGGTTATTTCTTTATATATTTATTTGCCGTTTAAAGTGTCCTGTAAGAAGGCACGCTTAAGTAGGCCTGGCACCAAGCCCGAGTATTGTTTTTCTAAAATTCCAACCTCGAGTGCTTTACCTCTAGGGACCTATTTCTGGTTTTATCCTCCAGCTCTTGAAGAGAAATACCTTTCGCCGACATTATATTCATTAATTTGGACATGTGAAAAAAAATACCTCTATTAAAATTTTAGTGTAATGCTAGTAGATGTATAATTCAATGTAGCTCTGGAACCCCTTATATATTACCCCATTCAGATCAACGGAAAAATTCTTTTCAGAATGTGCAAATATGTTGAAAGATTTATAAAAAATTTAATACTTCTTTCATGCAAGGATTATACGCATCAGCGGAAAGTTACATGTGTAAAGATTGTGATGTTCCCGTAAAGTAATATCCCCCCCCAAAAAAAAATGCGTTCTACAGTGAACACTCGCATCTCCCTAACTGGACCACATCCAAAGGAGACCAGCATCTTAGCTCTGACTGAAACGTACTGACGATATGACTGAAAAGTTTTTCTTTTAGTAAGAACATATTACTCTAAAGAACTTGTGTTTTTTTTTTTTTTTTCCTTCCAAATTTTGAGTCATTTATGTTTAATTACGCCTCTCACAACGTTTTATAACGTATTCAAAGAAACATACACTGTTTTCTGGCATCTTTCATACTGAAAGCATTTCCTCATTTTTTCTGGCAATTTGCCTTTTCAATGTTGATATTGTCCAAAATATATGTAGGTCATTCTGATGTTGACAGATCGATTTCAGACAATGCTGCCAATGCTACAGCAGCAACATGCACCTAGGCACTGTGATGGAGCAAAAATACGTATCTGGAGCAGATCCGGTCTTTTCTTCCTCATGGAGCTACGCAAATGATTTTCAAGACATGCGAATAATAATCATTGTTCAGTGTCACCTAACAATGTGTAATTGTTAACATTCATAGCTGCAATGGATAGCATTTCCAGAACATCCGATTATTCGCGTGTTACCGCGTTGAAGTACCTTTGTCATTAAAATATTAAAACATAGCTAAATGTTTCGTCACCATATCTGTACTGTAATATTTCAGGTGCTTTGTTGTGACAGCTTTCAGGTTTCCAACGCATCTCTGCCGTACAGTCGTAGAGACATTTTCCTCATTCATCACGGCAAAACGTACTAACTTCTTCTACTCGCTGTGATCAAATACTGAAGGCCATGCTGTCCAATTGCTGGTTCAAAGTTCAAACACTTCGATATGTAATATACACAAAAATGCCATGTCTAATATAAGGAAAAAGAAATAAAGACAATCCGAAAACCTTTTAGTCAGCATTTAGTATTGAGTGTCACCCAACTAAGATGACCAGGTTCACAGAAGATCAAGAGCATCTGAAATGTAGAAAGAATTCTGTGTTTTTTCTGTGCACATGAAGTCCTACTTTTCGACTATTACCAACCCAGCTCGACATAAATACTCAGGTTTTACTGTTTTAGCCTCGACCGTTTACAGGGCAATTTTTCTGCTTATTTGTAAGATAATTCTTCTAGTTCTAACATTGAATTTATCTTGACTAGCATATAGTTTGTGGTCAGACTTTTTTTAAGCTGCATTGATACGAATTCCTA